GCTTGCCTCAGCCTCCCAAGTAGCTGGGACTACAGGCGCCCGCCACAACGCCCGGTTGTTTTTTGGTTGTAGTTGTCATTATTGTTTGGCAGGCCCAGGCTGGATTCGAACCCATAGGCTCTGGTGTATGTGGCTGGTGCCTCAGCCGCTTGAGCTACAGGCACTGAGCTAGTGGTGTGTATCTTTTCTTTCTTCTTACATAGGGCTAGGTTTGTTAATTTTATTGATATTTATGAAGACCCAGGTTTTAGTTCGATTAGTTTATTTTCTTTTTTCATTCTTTTTTTTCTTTTTGAAAAGTAAATTTATTTCCGGCAGCGCCTATGGCTCAAAGGAGTAGGGTGCTGGCCCCATATGCTGGAGGTGGCGGATTCAAACCCAGCCCCTTAAAAGTAAATTTAAGTTAATGTGAGGGTATAAACAACCTGGTCAAAATATTTGATTTTGTTAGGTAGAGTCCCTCTTGTGGTTATGTCCCACACACAAAATGTGTGCCAAACACCCCCACCCCGAGCCCATTGAGTGAGAGCACCCCAACCCCCATTCCCCTCCCTCAATACCCCTCCCTCCAACTTAAATTGAATTCAGCTGAAATGAGTTTTCTCCTACGTGGGCATGCATCACGTTCTCTGCTGGCTTCATGTTAGTATTCAGTACCTTGGATAATTGCTTCTCCATTCTTGGGTGTTTTTTTTCTTTGTAAATATTTCACTGATTTCTGCTCTTTGTTCCTTTGCTTGCTTTGGATTTCATTTATTCTTTTTCAAGTGTTCAAAAGTAGAATATTAGATCAGCAATTTGAGATCTTTTTGAAGTCGTAATCACTTAACACTATAAACGTCCCTCAAGGAACTCCTTTAACTATTTCCCACAGGTTTTGAATATGTTTTTTTTTTTTTTTTTTTTTTTTTTTTTTTTTTGCAGTTTGAACCCACCTCCTCCAGTATATGGGGCTGGCACCCTACTCTTTGAGCCACAGTAACCACCCTATGTTTTCATTTTCATTAAATTAAAAACATTTTCTAGGCTGGGCACTGTGGCTCACACCTGTAATCCCAGCACTCTGGGAGGCCGAGGCAGGAGGATCATTTGAGCTCAGATGTTTTGAGACCAGCCTGAGCAAGAGTGAGACCCTGTCTCTACTAAAAAAAAAAAAA